GTGCCGGCAAATTGGCTCTCGCTAATGAGTTCTGAATTTAGGGAACACACTCGCGGCAAAGTAATAAATTTTTCTGTTACGAATAATAGGGAACTGGCATACGGTAGCCAGTTTACTTTATCAACTCAGTTGATAACATTAAATTAAATTTGAATCTCTTTCTTTACTGCTGGAAGTTCAGAGAAGTGAGAATTGCAGTAAAGAAGGCAATCAGAGCGTTTTGTTGTTGTTTGTAGCTCAAGGATGCCTTTATTTTATGAGAATTGACCTCAATGTTCTTAAACATCAGTATATTATGCAAATTTTTTTCATCTAAAAAACACTTGCTCATCATAAAGGAACCACAAATATGTTACCTTAAAAACAAAACAAGCATAGCTAAGAAGGACAAAGACACACATGGGTCAAGAACTGGAAAGAAAAGCTGACTTGTTGAGGAAGCTCTACATAGTATCGGTGAAAAATAACTCGCAGATTCTACGTCATTTAGTTTGTTAAATAAATGTGGCACCCGCTCACTAAACATGATGAAAATTCGAAGAATTTGAATAAAACACGAAAGAGTTAAAAACAAGTCTAATTATAGCTGTGACATTTGTCATCGGAAAATCAGACGACAGGAGGAATTTTTTATCCAATAGAAACTGCTAAAATTCTCAACAGAACAATAACACACTTATATCGAAGACGGATCGCCTAATAAACGTTCATTTGCTGCCAAAAGAGGGAAAGACAGAGCCACAAGTCTGAACGTGAGCGCCAATGGCGACCCTCACAAGCCAGTTATCTTCACAATTACCAATTGGAGTAGTAGCATTTCTCCTCGCTTTCAACATTGTCCTCTCCTTCACTGCATCTCTTGGTAATGCTCTGCTTCTATTAACATTTTATAAAGTGTCCTCTTTGCATCCCGCTGCAAAGGTCTTGTTTGAATGTCTAGCCACTACCGATATTTGTGTGGGTCTTTTTTCACAACCTCTGTTTGTGACTTTTTTATTTCTTTACATTGATCTTGGTAACACCGACATAGATATTTTGTATTACGTCGAAGAGGTTGTTTGTATATCCAACTATGTTTTGTTTGGAGTGACTGTACTGATATCAACAGCCATCAGTGTTGACAGACTTCTTGTTCTGTTATTGAGGCTGAGATACAGACAAGTTGTGACACTAAAGCGAACTCAAGCTGTTATACTTTTATGCTGGATAATTGCTGTTTTGTGCGGATTGGTTCGTGTCTGGAGTCAAACGGTTTCGGAGATTGTTGCTTTTGTGGCCGTTGTGGTATCTCTGGTTACTTCCGTGTTTTGCTATGTAAAGATCCACCTGAGATTACAGCGGTACCAGGCTGAAGTAGAAGACAACCCTGGCGAAGGAAGGTCAAACGCAGGAGAAGATATAGGAGTAGGAAAAGATGAAGCAAGCCCAATAACGGGGATTAGAACAGCCACAGAAGAAGGAGCAGGAGTAAAAGGTACAGGAAGGGGAAGAGTACGTGCATGGACAGCAAAACAAAGATTAAACGGGAGAGTTCAACTAAACATCAAACAATATCAGAAAACAGTTTCCAGCATATTTTGGGTGCAGTTGGCTTTAGTGGCATGCTACACCCCTTTTATAATTGTGTCGATATTGAGACATACAGTACTTAGTGGATCAGCAGTTCATGCTCTGTGGCTCTCTACGAAAACTTTAGTTTATCTGAACTCATCTCTGAATCCCTTTCTTTACTGTTGGAAAATCACAGAAGTGAGAAAGGCAGTAAAGGACACAGCCAGGGCGTTTTGTTGTTGTTCGTGATTCAAGGTCGCCTGTATTTATGTGGAAAAACTTCCGTGTCCTTAAAGAAATAATTTTTTGCGAATTTTCATATTAATCAATAACGAATCATTGAATGCTGACAAGTAATTGCACTTACAGAGTCGAAAACTCTATTGCAATATGAGGAGGAATACAAATTTCTTTTTCTTTTCCATGTTCTCTTTACAGGAAGGAGAATAAGAAGAAGAGGAAGACATAACATCAATTAGTCTCTTTTTTTTTGCCATGAAATACAATGAGATATTGATTGAGAATTGATTCTTTCTATCTATTTTGGACGGGTTTCTAATATTTATTTAAAGATCGCCCATGCATAAACAAAATTAATAATAAACGTTAATTGTGGACTTGTCTTTGCTCGATATGCCCTGTTCTCTCATACGTAAATCTAATATCTCGCATTTTGACTGAACAAACCGTTTTCAGCGAAGTGCGAAGCAACTTTGTCGAATAAAACCTTAAAAGAGTCTACCCCGTACATTTGTGCGGCCCCTTTAGTCCTCTTACTGGCGGCGCTTTTAAACAAGGAAGGTTGTTATTTTCTTTTCCTTTTTCGCCGCCGCAGTTATTGCTGACTTCTCTATTTATACAGTCACAGTGAACCACTGCTTTCTTTTGCATTTTTGGCCTCTTTCAGCTGACTTTCCCCCCCACAATCAGGAGGAAAAACCTCAAGATGAATATGTCTAACCTTTATTTTAAAATGCGTCATGCTTGAATATCAAATAAGACCACATTAAACATCTCACAAATTGAGGACGCCACAAAAATGGCTGATTAGTAATTAAATGGCTTATATTTTGGTATTATTAAATTCGAGAATAATAAAAAACGAGATTTAGCTAACTTTAAGTTCTCTTGAACATTAAACTTATGATGAAAACACCAGCGGTCGTCTCAGCCCTTATCAATGTTCAACAAAATTTTTTTCCACAAACAGTTCACATCTGCTTCCAAAAACATAGCGTAAAATGTGTAATGATGCAATACGAATAAATCATTCACACGAGCTCTAGAATATACTGTAAGCCATTTTGGCAATAGTCTTGGTTTTAAGGGCGTGATGAATGACTCAATAGCTGTTATAATATTTAGCTAAAGACTGGCAAATTGGGTCATTAGGCTTTCAAATACTTTATTCTTAGTCGCATAAATAAACCGTTTTTGGTTGACAGATATGTCAGCCTGCTTGTTTTGATAACACCAAGGGTAACAATACATGATTATTGACACACTTCAGTTGTTGTTGTACAGGTGCTGGTGTTGGTGGCCAGCCAAGACCTTTCAAGTTTATTCATATTTCCTTCATTGACATTAATTTTTACAAGATATGGATAGAAAAATGATCCATTTTCCAACATTGGCTTCTCGGAAATGTTTGCATTATTACGATAAGTTGCGATGCCAATCGCCCTATTGAAAGTTTATCAAATAATTATTTCTTAACTCTTCACCAAGGTAGAGTTAACTAGTGGTGGATATTTACCAAGCTGCCAAGCGGAGATGTAAATATCTACCCCTAGCCACCGGCACTTAGATGAATATTTGTTTTTGTATATAATTTAATACTGTGAGATAAAATAATACAAAAAGATGATTTTGAATAATTTATTCCTGTAATAATCACAACATTTTTGGGCGCAAATCCCCTGGAGGTGAATGGAGAAGGATGTGCGGAGTAACGTTTTAGTGACTACTTTTGGGTTCCTTATATCTATATATGGATCGAAATATGTCAGATTTTCGGGAGATTCAAATAAAAAAAAAATTTAATTTAATTTCGTGTGCAGAAATTTCAAAACCCTATCTAAACGATAAATACTTCCTTATAAGCATATTGAACAGTCAAAGAGATAAATACTGAAAAAAAGGCAAAAACCAAAATTTTTGAGATCGACATCAGAGTCACCACCGATCTTTTGATCGACGATCGTGGTTTTATTTCACTTTCATTTAAAGGACACTCCCTGTCTCAGAAAAAAATTGTTGTCTTAGCCCAGCCTTGAACTGGGAGAGAAATCTGAAGTTTAGTATCATCCAATAATATTCAGTAAAACAAGATTGAGGGGCATATGAAAAGTCATTTACATAAATTCTGAACAAAACAAGTCATGGAACAACCGCTTGTGGCACTCTGGATTCAAAGACCAGAGAGTCAGGGACTCAGAATTTATGAGCGCTACTTGTTTTCTAGCAGATGGATTAATGATGAACTAAGCCACGCCGAAATGCCCTCGTTTATTTTGTCAAAGGCCTTGCTCATGTCAAGAAACACGACGACGGACAGTAAGAAAATAACTGCCGTTGCCTATTTCTCTAAAAATCATAGCACAGTACTTCTCAAGATGAAAGTTGAAGTAATGGGTTAGGCAATGTCAGCGTTATATGTAAGTGCTCGTGAAAAAAACAACTGAAAATGACTGAATGAGAATCCATTATTATATTAGCTCGTCTGTGTTTCTCGAAAACGCCATCTATTGCTTGATTAAACTCGACATATTTGCTGACATAGTGCACCAGGAAGGCACGATTAGTGTCAACAATATTCAAACACAATATCCCGAGACGCCAAAATGCCTGAAACTGTGGAGATAAAAAGTAAAAAATAATGCTTCCTTGGCACTTGGAATATCTGCCTTAGGCCAACTTCTGCACTAAGAATCATCACAATGGGGTCATTTATGTTTCAAACTTCTAAAACACTTTTCTCAGACAATGATTAGAAGCAGTGATGTGAAATAACAACATTCAAGACTAATCAGCTTAATACCGCCTATCTAATCAACAAATTGGAATAGAGAACTCGATTGAAAAGGCCGGTGAGTCAGTAGCTGTCTACAAAAAGGATAAAATGTATTGGGTTAATAATGTTTTGAGGATATGCTACTCCTGGTTGCTAAGCGAGCGTAAGCTGGGAATAGAAAAATATATACACTTATCAGAACTAACGCAGCGCTACTGGATTTTCGTCAATCTTACTCTTTGAAGGAGGCCAGATGTCATTTTAGTTTATGGTATCCTTCAAATCTACAGTTAGATCCAGACCAGCAATTTTGCTGCAATGAATGGAGTAAACGAAACGAGTTTAGCTTATATAAGTTTATTGAAGCATTTAGGGAGTGCTTTACAACAAGTAAATTATTCTTAATTAGATTAGGAAATATTACTTATACTAGGAACAACACTCACAAACTTACGCAGCATTTCTGACTTGATCAGTTATAAAAATTATCTTAACAGCAATTTCTTTTTTTTTCTTTTTTTTTTGTCTCTATCAGCCTACAGTCAATAACATCAACAAAGCACTGACAAGTGCACCAAGTGAATAAACGGTAAACTAAGAAATGCAAAAGTGAAGTAAATAAACAAGTTTTTTCTTTGAAGGAAATTCCACTTAACCTCCATTTATAAACTATGAAAATGGTTATCATCACTACCAAAGCATTACTAAAGTAAAAGTACGAAAAAACCTACGTCTTAAAATCAAAAACTATGAAATATTGAGGCTGAAATTCTCGAAATATAAACTACAAATTACCACAGAGTGTTATAAGACTACAACCTTAGAGGTTCAGCAATTCTGCTATTAAGCCTCAGTCCTGCACAAGAGGAGTTGCTTCAGATGACTCCTCGTCTTCGTCACTTCCAGTTTCGTCTATATCCGCAGCAGTAAGTTGATTACCATCATACTCTTGTACGCCAGCGTCTCCGTCAAAAAGGTCTACAGCATCACTTTGGTCGTCCATATAGTTTCCAAGATCGTCTTGTTCATCCTTCGTGTACTCTAGTTGGCAAGTCTTAGGTTCTTCTTCTACTGCCTCCTTTTCAGATTGAACTGCTACAGCACCTTCATAACCAACGGTATTTTCAGGTTCACTTGTTACACCTTCTTCGTCATTAGTTTGAATTTCTGGAGGGAAGACGAAATCACTGAGGCCTTCTTTTTCGATCAGAGGATTGTATTCTAAAGAATCAAGATCTTCCTCTTCGATCACACAAGGGAATGGTGAGGCATCGGGTTTGTTCACCTCATTTGCGGAGCGTGCGAAAGAGGTAGGATCTTCTTTTTCAGTAACAGAAAGGCATTCTGTGGCTTCCAAATCTTCTTCCCCAAGTACAGGGGAGCATGCTGAGTTATTGGAATCTTCTTCCTCAACCACAAGGGGGCATGCTAAAGAATCAGAATTTTCTTCGTCAGTCACAAGGGGACATGCTGAAGCAGCTAGACCGTCTTCGTCCATCACCAGGGAGGATGGTAAAGGATCAATTTCTTCTTCCTCAATCGCAAGAGGGCACTCGGAGTCATCAACATCTTCTTCCTCGTTCTCGCTAAGGTATGGTAAAGTATCACTCTCCAAAGGGTACGCTTGGGCATCCATATCTTTCTTATCACTCTCAAAAGGGTATGCTGCGCAACCTTCTTCTTCTACTTTGATTCCGAGAGGGAAAGCTGTAGCACCATCGTCAATTCCAACCATAGAGGGATGTGCGGTAGCACCGTGCTTACCCACTTCACGGGCGAGATTTCCTGCAGCTGCCCCTTTGTCTTGTAAGTTAATAGCGAAGGGGAAAGCTGTAGCACCATCGTCAATTGCAACCACAAAGGGATGTGCAATAGCACCGTGCTTACCCACTTCATGGGCGAGATTTTCTGCAGCTGCCCCTTCCTCTGGTACGTTAATAGCGAAAGGGAAAGCTGTAGCACCATCGTCAATTGAAACCACAAAGGGATGTGCAGCAGCAGCATGCTTACCCACTTCATGGGCGAGATTTGCTGCAGCTGCTCCTTTCTCTGGTACATTAATAGCGAAAGGGAAAGCTGTAGCACCATCGTCAATTGCAACCACAAAGGGATGTGCAGCAGCACCGTGCTTACCCACTTCATGGGCGAGATTTGCTGCAGCTGCCCCTTTCTCTGGTACGTTAATAGCGAAAGGGAAAGCTTGAGCACCATCGTTTATTGCAATCACAAAGGGATGTGCCGTAGCACCGTGTTCACCCACTTCACGGTCGGGATCTGTTGCAGGTGCTCCTTCGTCTCCTACGTTAATTCCAAGAGGGAAAGCTGTAGCATCATCGTCCACTGCAACCAGAAAGGGATGTGCCGTAGCACCGTGTTCACCCACTTCACCGATGGGATTTGCTGCAGCTGCTCCTAGCTCGTCCGGTCCTGCATCTTCTGGGTTTGCAACAGCTCCACGGTCATCGACAAAGTTGTACTTATCCTGATCATACTTGTCATCGTCAAAGATATCTACATATGTCTATGAAAAAGATTAGAAGGTAATCAAGAACTGCATGAGTTAAAAAATCTTGAACGAATGAATTTCAAAAATTCAACAAAGAAATTCCAAAAATGAGTCACTAAAAAGAAAAAAAAGAGCAGATCAGATATCAATCACAAAGACAAGAACCATTAGTACTTGCATGAATTGATAAGAATAAAAGTCAGGTAAGGTCTTCCTTTCTGTCAAAGTTTTCCAAAAGTGTTATTTTAAGATCTGTTCCGTTCTTTCTTGTGTGTAGACAACAGAGGGAAAATAAGGATGATCCAGACTGACATAACGTAACCACACTTGCATATGTTTAAAAGTAACATTGGTTCATGATGAAACTGAATTCACAAATTGTTAGCGGCTGGGTAGTTAATGCGTTTTGACATCACATTGACGTGAAAAGAAATTCGCAATTGACTTGGTAGGATACAAATTTCAATTTCTGAAGTATATACTGAATTAGACGCTGTATGGCAAACCTTTGTTTTAATATATGTATCCATTGTTTGGTAGAGCTTCACAAAGTGTGGCCGGCTGGCGCTTTCGTATTTCCAGCAGTTTAACATCACCGCGTATCTATAGAAAAACACAGGGACATATGATCACAGTAATTCTGCGGTAGGCATTAATATTGCAAGTAGCAAAGTTGAGAAACCACAACTAGTTACAAAAATAACTGAAATGCTAAGTTTATCTCATTACATTGCAGCTCAAACGAATTCTGTGATGAAAAACCCATCGTATTCTTTATTTGACTCAACAACTTTTCATTTTAATTTTTGTAGTGACAAGATAAAATTAATTTCTTAGGAAGGCTACTTATTCAGAGCGAGTGTATCAAAAACACCTGACCACAGCAGCAATCGATGTTGCTTTTGACTTATATAACATTCCACACAGAGGAAGCAACACTTACAAACTGTCGTCGATATGTTCAGGCTTTGGCAGACGATAACCTTCTTCGATTTTTTTCATTGTCGTGGATTGAGACCATCCATCGTAAGGAATGCCTCCTGTGGAAAAATAATGTTTTTTTCTGTTGGCCAAAAAAGCACACTTTTTTTGTTGTAATCACTTTCATTCCTCTCAGCGCGATCGAAATGATTCTTCTGTCAAAACGACAATTAATTGCTGAAATACATTTCGGTTTTACATCAGATGAAAGAGTACTGTAAAAAAAAACAAATTTAAGTGTAGCGATGGATTTAAGGTTTTTCAATAATGTACTAAATACTTTCAGTTCTACTTAAACTTAAGCTTTATTTCAAGTTGCTATGCATCGTCATAATTTTATTTATCAGCGCCATTGAGTGTTGCTTCTACTTCTCTATTGTACAATGCTCTTTTGCCCGCTCGGTATCACTCATCAGTTAGTAATTATGCGTGCAATTTCGGCAAGTATATTTCCTGAATATAAAGTAACAAATAAGTTAAGTACCGACAGTGAAGATTTCATACAAGACGATGCCGTAGGACCACCTGTCAAAGAAATGGAAGGATGACGATATATCTCAACTGGGTTAGAAAGATAATAATTACTCAGATACTTGGGATGTTTAAAAACATGCCATCAAGATATAAGCAACCTCCCTAGGAGAAAACGCCATATTTATTAGTTTGATTATCCACTCATCCTTTCATCCGTCTTTTCTTGTCCTAATCAGATTTTGGATAGTGGTCGTTAAACTTAATATTCATATAAAGTCTCATACTACAACTGTAACCTCAGCTGTTCCTCAGCTTGACGTTTCCTAATGACTCTCTAATCAATAGAGCACTGAATATTCTAGTTTCCCTCGCTACGTTAAAGTAGAATCGTAAAAAATATTCACTCTAGGAATATATGTAGATAATAACCAATACAGTACGTACACATCGCTTTTGGTTGACAGCTGTTCCACATGTCCAAAGAGAATCTCGGGTGCAGTCCATTTGATTGGGATACATCCCTGGATGAGTAACCAAAATATTATAAACATCTGAAATCTAAAGAGGCTTGTATACAGCTCCTAAAATAATTTGCATATAAGATTAAAACCGTGATGTGAGGATTCACGATAAAGTCAATAGCAGTAGACACCTTTGTACAAATTCTATGAAAACAATTCACACACTCCTTTTGCTTTAAATTTTTCTGTTACTTTGCCCTTCGAGTTTGTATCTTTGTTATTCAGAGAACGATATCTCTTCCGGCTTTCTTATTTCCTGTGTTCACTCCCTAGGTACAATTTTTTTTTTCAGTGAAAGCTTCGATACACTTAGAATGGCTTCCCATTAAAGGGAAATATGTTTTGCAGTAAGACTGTATAACTGAAAAGAAAGGTTTGTAAGGACAGTAATATTTTAATTCTTCACATTTTTATCTTCCATACCAGCAGCCCCAAAACCAATTGACTAAATGATGAAAAAATCCTGAAAATTACCTTCTTGGCATTTCCTGGGCCGTATTTGAAATCCTGATAAGAGAGCCCAAAGTCAGTCAACTTGCAGACACGATGCTCATCAAGAAGGATGTTACGAGCTGCAAGATCGCGATGAATTATCTGAAATCGAAAACAAATATTATATGATCTGCTAAAAGGGACTTTTATAAACTACATAAAATAAAAAAGTAAAATATAGGTAGAAAGTTTAACATCATGCTAATGTCAGACCATTTCTCTGTGAAATAGTGACTCTAATGTGCTGGATATTTTTAGCCGTATGGAGTATTACTTTGACGATTTGCAAGTCATGCCATTTTATCACATGCAGGACCACATGCTGACCAGAAAGAGTTTGAGCACTTACCCCTCTGGACGCGAGGAAAGTCATACCATGTGCGATCTGTTTAGCAAACAGCACCATGTCATATGTTGTCAAGTGGTCGACAATTCCGACCCCATGATGATATTGGTCGAAAACCCCCCTGGATTTTCTGAGATAACCCAGCAAGTCACCTCGCCACAGGTACTCCATGATAAGTATTGGCTGAGCTAAAAGGGAAAAACAAGAAAATTATTTTACGGCAAGCAGTGCAGAAGTTCCAAAACGTGTTTGAATTGTACATGCTTTATCTAGTCATACCTCAAGTTATATCTGTAATGAATCAAAGTAGAGACAGAGAGGGAAAGTGAAAGAAGAAAACACACAGATAGAAAATAGACGGACAAATACGGCCGATAGAAATCTACAGACAGACAGACAGAAAAAACAGAGATGGCAGATAAATAGACAAAGACTTGCCATCGTAAGTTGAAGTTTTTATCACAATTAGCATGTAGATTTTAGAGCTAACATCTTCCAAGTAAAATGCCCCTCATACAATGCGAAGTAAATTCATTTAAAACAGTCAAAAAATTGAAAATAACCATTGAATTAGTACACCATCTTAGCAAGGACTAAGAATACTGATAGAAGTAATTGTACCAGTGGTTGAACTCAGAGATGTCTCAATCGTTGCTGTGAATTAGCTGATTATAATCATAACAATAGCTGATTACCTCCAACTGTGACACAACCAATGAACTTAACAACATTTTCATGGCCCTCCCTTCCAAAGAGTTTTAATAACTCGATCTCTCTCAGCAGGGCCTTCCTTCCTTTCTCTCCGGAGATTGCTAGGAAACCACACAAAAATTAGATAAACAAACAAACTTTGCATGTCAAGAGAGACACAATTAATTATGTGGTAAACATCCACATCTGGAATTGTTGTATGCTTGGTGTTATCTTACCAGCGCAAATTATAAGGCATTTGGTCTACATAAAAAAAAAAAATTAGTTTACTAAACTCCATAGACGACTTTCATAATGGCGGGCGTAGCGCGAGGCCTGGTGAGAACGGCATGAAAACGAGGTCACAAAGGCCTCAAACTTTCATAGTATAATTATGGCGTCCTCCTTGAGTAAAAACGCGAGTGCGATTTTTCTTACGGAAGATGATATTCCATACGAAAGCCTTGAAAAACACAGAACTATGTTTGTGGCTTGAACAAAAGCGGAGCTCGTGAAACGAGTGTCCGAGTACATCAGAACTGGCAAAGATAAAAATTATTGTTGACCCAGATCCAGACAAGATTTACAGTTGCAGAAAAGAGCGATTGAGCACCTTCACTGATGTTAGCCATTTCCCGACGATTGCTCGAGAAAATGTCAATGTTTACCAGACTCGAAATGAATCGCCGTATCTTAAATTCGGGAAAATCCATCGCAGACAAAGACCACCACATGGTCCCAACAAGCTTGTTAAAAGCCAAACGATTCTTGGATGACGAATATCTCGAGGAAATTCAGTGTACGAGTGACCAAAGGCATTTTTATTTCAAAAGCAAGTGCTGCCATAGCTTTCGGAAGAATGACCCACCATATACTCTAAAGATTGCCCTATGCATCTTACCTGGCGGAGTAAGGAGTGCTTGCTGTTCATGCATAGCCGGCAAGGTGGGATTCAGCAATCATGTGTTGGCCCTCATGTTCAAGTTATGATTTAACTGTGCCTCAACAAAAGATCTGTTGGAAGAGGAAGATTCACATACCCATAGCCTGCACATCTCAATTGTGGCATAAGAAAGGTGGGGGTTCAAATATTGACAGCCAATCATGAAAGTTGAAGTGACCAAAACCATCCAGAAATTCAGTTGATAATATTGTACTCTCCGTTTAAAGTTTAAGTTTTCGAGACTCTTCCTGCTCTCTTGGAATTTCCAGTGACCTTCCATGGGATAGGTATGGATAATATTCTGAAACATGATCTTTATCTACCAACCAATAGAGTATAGGGAATTCAGAGGTCATTAAAAGTAGTGTAGCAATGTTTTGTTTCCCTTTGTCTTTTATTTAACTATAAAGGAAGTGTCTTCTGTTAAGAAAACGTGACTACAGAGGCATACCAAGCAATAGGTATTTTTCCTTGAAAATAACAAATGCAATGCAAATTTTCTCCAAAAAAGTGATTGATTTGGAGTTTATTTTGTTGTAATTTCTATCACCTCTATATACACAAAATAATTACCAATTGTAGTGTACCATTTCATCACACTGATATTATGTTGGGTTGTGCATTACACAAGAAGGCACACACTGCCCACATTTGGTTTACAAAGGTATGGCGCCAGGTTTTAGACATATTTTCCCCGCAAGAGTCTTTTTTAGATCTTCATTTCTAAATGTCTGGAACAGACCTTTGTTGAGTCGGATATTTTAAAGTCTTTTCCTTCGTCTCGCCTGATGGCCTGTATCCATTTCTTCTTTACCATTTTTTCTCTAGGAAATTGCTTAGGGTTAGTGCGACACTTTCGACCCATGCTCTTCGCGATAGCCTTTTTTGGTGCATCCTGGAACGCAGCAGTGTGTAGGCATTCCTTTCTGTTCCTAAATGTATATTTTAAGCGGTGATTGACCCCAATTGAGTATTATTGTCTTCACACAAAAGCAAAAACTTGACCTAAAACCACTACACGCGCGCTATGTTTACGTCTGAGAGGCCTTTGTGGCCTCGTTTCCATGCAAAATCGTTACCAGTTCCGCGCGCCTTCGGCCATTATGAAAGTCGTCAATATAATCCATACTTGCCACAAAAATGTCAGTTAGCCGTATTGTTCAATTTATTGAACATGAAATTTCCAAAATAGATTCATCCTCCTTGAAAAAAATATTTGCTAAGAAAACGCTGCGCATCTCGAGCATTGTTGTTAACTAGGCAAGCCCATTGAACCGTGCAATTGTTTACAGATAACTTACAAAAGTAGAGACGCAATTAAGCCTAGAAATTCCATCTGTTATAATACCTAATAGTCGGTCGAATATATATTTGAGACAGTTTTTTTTAAATACATGCTCTGTTTGCGCCTTCTTGTTTCCTACAGGTCATAAATTAGATAATCCTTGCTTTTATCTTACTAAAAGCTACAATAATTCGTAAGCATTCCCAGAGTTATTATAAATTCATTTGACTCTGTAAGTTTGTTACAGTCGAACCTGTATTTAGCGGTCACGCGCGGGGATGGTTGACCGTTTAATATAGGTTCCACGGAATAGGGCTACTATTGATAAAAGTTTAAAAAATGCCACTCTATGCCATCACGGACCACTTAACATACACAACCTCGCTCAAAAATATTCCTAACATTGATTTCGGGAGATAAACATGGATTAAATTTTACTTGAAAGATTATTCTTAATTTTATTTGAGTACTTCCGCTTTAGTGACCGTTCGATAAAGGTGGGGAACATTACAAATAGGCTGTTGGGACTTAGTAAAAGGTGACCACAACCGCTTGATATAAAAAGTACTAAGTAAGTAAAGGAGGAAAGTTTCGGGACTTTCAAAACTGACCGCTTATTACAAGGTGACCGCTTAATACAGGTTCTACTGCATTGTGATTTTCAGCTTGTCCAGCGCAAGAAGATCATACTACCACCACTAGACTGGCAAATGGCTCCGAGTTTTTTCCGCTAGACTCACCCTCTCAAGGTTTCTTTGAGGTCTCATGACATTATTTCCCACTAAAAGTTTCTAAGCGGGCAACTTTGCAAAATATACGACAGAGTGACATTTTTAGTATTGTAGTATTTTCCGCTTTTATACACTTGAATGCAATTTAATCGATAAATTTTCATTTTTCTCCACAGCTTCTTATACTCCAAATGATATTCGTGTTCTGTTCTATTTTAGTAGCGTTGTATGACAAAAGATTTAACAACTGGTCCCCCCGGGAACCATCCGCTAACAATTAATTTGACATGCCAGCTGATAAATCATTTGAACAGCGCATAGTTTTTAAGCTATCCATGTTATGTATTAGGTAGGTTAATAAGGTTTCCTTATTTCCTTATTATTTCCTGTAGGTTAATAAAGCATGTTCTAAGAGAAATGCTCTTTATTGAGATAAATTACTCAAAAAATTAATAAAGGATAGTTCAATCAAGCTTTGTATGAAAGAAAGACCTGAAAAAGTACTTACGTAGGTAGCATTTCGCAGCAACTGTGCGATTTCCAGGTCTGCCACGGGAACGACCCAGTAGCGCTCGCCACACTGAACCGAATGCCCCTTTGCCAATATGCTCGCGAAGGATCAGGCGGTCAACTGCAATCTCCCATCCGTCTGTGTTTGCGTTCAGCTGATCCATCTCAACTTCATCTTCCCCTTCACTGAATAATTGCAGATGAAAACAAGACTTTAACTATCTGTGTTACCTATCTATCTTTTCCTTCTTTGAATCTGGTTTAACATAACGTGGTAAAGATATCCTCTATATCTTCAATTTAAATTTTTTTTCTTTTCATTTCATTTCCGGGTGCTTCAGAAAATTATCACTTGCCAATGAAAAATTATTGAAATAGGTGAAATTTGGATGCTAATTTACTGAACCCGTTTTTTCGACGCATCGACCCAGGGAGGAGATTTTATTGAAAAAAAATTGAATAAAGATTGAATAAACCTCGCTTGAAGATAATCTAGCGCCGACTGTGTTTTTCGGCATTTTACGTCATATAAATATCGTGCCTCCTACGCGAGAAATGAAATACTAACCAAAACCATCCGAAGTATTGTCTACAATCGATATATCGAGTGGTATTTTAAATCGTTCTACAAGACTCCGAGTGTGTTTCAACTGTAGTTTCTGTAACAAAGAGTGACGAAGGGTCAAAGCTTCTCTTCTTCTTTACAAGTATGCCACCCACAACCCAGCATACTGGTAACAAAAACAAAAAATACTAAACAAGGTGTCAAAACAAGTGAAGGACGGAGGAATTCAAAACAGAAAGAACGTCGGGAAATAGTTGACTGCCATTTGATAAGAACTGCTTCGAAATCTGCTGCTGCTTCGAAAGGAAAATCTTTTATTTTGGCCCATGTGCTCTTGATTGTGAATATAATCGGTCCAAACTGAAAAAGAGACTTATTTTCTCAACAGTGGCGATTATCGCTACTCACCTGAGACTTATTCAAGAGTTAGAAATTTCGAATACAACTACACGTTCAAACAATGAGCATTAAAAAAGAGAGAATTTACTTACTTCAGCCTAGGTGGCACCTCAGGTGGGGCTATCATCAAAAGATATGTGGAAAGAGATGAAAGAAATCGTTTAGTTGTGAGTAAGAATGACATCATTAACTAAGTTGAAGCTTGCGACTCAGAAACCACGTGTGACTTATATTTGACTCTGTTGTCAAACAACGAGAGAAGGAATAAGGTGGGTTATCATGGTAATTAGTTTCATATAATTTGCAACATTTTTGTAATTTGATTAGTAATGGGCTTTGCCGGGACTGTAGAGGGACCTTCAAAATCAGTGCTGGAAATGCAGAATATGACCTTCTTAAAATAGCTCCTTCGTGCTCCAAGACACTGACGTATTAAAAGCCACAATCTGCCATATGAAGACATTTTATTTTCGTATGGTAACATTTTACCTGTCGCACGGCGTTTTTTAATGTATGAAATGAACGCCAGTAGAAAAACGACAGCAGCCAAAGGTCCCGCAATGTAGTACCACTCCAGTGAGCTGCTGGAGGAAGATGAGCTGCTGGAAGGAGCCTCTGAATTTCCTGAAACACAATAATAGAAGAAGCTTTATAGGAAAGTAATTTGCTGGTCGGCAAAAAATTGATATCACCAACTATCCAGATAGAGAGCTAACTTTTTTTTGTTCCAACAATTTACGTTGTTCATTGCTTGCGTTGGGTGACGGGGAATAACTCATGGAAAAACAGACGCAGATGTGTTAAGTTACAAAAAACAGGCAGATAGACAGAGAAAGATTGGTGAAAGAATTATAGAATATGTATAACATGCTGCTACTGTTTGAAACTCGTTTTGAAACAGTTTTTTAAATTTCTTTCAAATTTAATTCACTTCAAATTTCTAGTTCCCAGAAGACCAAAAAACCACTGGAAAAGCTTGTGAGGAACATAAGAGGTGGACGTGTATTTTATAATAATGACCTTACATAGTTGATTACTGAAATTATATGTGGTTCCTTAAACAGCTTACCTTTGACATTTACTGTCACAACAGAGCGAGCCACAGTTCTTAGCTTGTTACGTGCTTCACAAGAATATTCACCACTGTCCTCTTCCACAACCTTAGTTATATCAAGTTTACTATTTTCCTCATCTAATCGTGTCTCTATAACTGCTTTTTCTGTTATTAGGTCTCCATCTTTTTTCCACATAATGCTGATTGTTTCTTCGTTGACTATGCAGATCAATTTGAGGGTATCTCCTTTTGTGAGTGTTATGTATTTCTCTGGAAAAACTAGAGCAGAGGCTTTTCCTGCGTTGAAAAAGGGGCAATTCATTAGTATGCTGGTTAAACATTAAACATTAAACTACAACTATATTATAAACACCCCAAAAAACAAACACAAACACAAACATTGAAAACGAACCAAAAAATATGACCTTCTCCAGGAATGCTTCGAATATGTTGCGAATGAGTTAAAAAGCCATAAATCAACTTTGTGGAGAGATCTAAGAGAATTGAAGATGCGAGGGAATTCTTTCGAATGCTTGATCGCTATTTGACCAACGATTTCGGTCACGGATAGAAGCGTATTCGCTTTAAGTAGTTTCCTCTGCTTTAGTTTTGTTGTTCAGTGTAGAGAATATAATTGTGTGTCGTAAGTAACTTTGGCTTTTGCGTCTCGCTTACTTTATGCTTTCTTCTAAGATTCTGGATCTCTCCGTCTCGGAAGTCTCTTCTTCAGATTTGTCCAGCTTGAAAGTACATTGCATATCGTCAAGTATTTCAAATCAAGCAACTCTCTATAGCGCCATCACCTGTCCTTTTTCCTAAGTGTTTCTTTCCTACCCAGTTTTTTGGAAGTTCAGGCCCCGGTTGCTCGAAAGGTGGATAACACTAGCTACTGGATAAAACTCTATCTGGTGGAGAACGCTTTACGTTTTACTATCACACATTGACAAGATAAATATTTAACCGTTAGATAGCGTGATCTGCCTTCTATACAAATGGGTCGAGTTTGCCTATATTCTCTTCGCGCTACCCCTTTTCTCTGTTGTTATTGACCTTGGACGTACAAGTTTATCTTTCTGTCTTAATCTCTTCTCTCCCTATTTCTCTTTTTCATCGTTATCATCATCATCGTCATTATTAACGTCATCATCGTCGTCTTCATCATCATCATCATCACCAATATCATTACAACTGAACTTACCATAAACACGCAGAGTTGCTGAGGAACTGGTTGTGTTTGCTTTGTTTTTTGCTGTACACTTGTAAGTCCCATTCATCCTTTTCATGACACTTGGTGATGCTATGAATGATTCTCCTTCGTGACCGGTTTGATTGATACCAGATGGCAGGTCACCATTATTAAAAGTCCAGACCAAGGTTGGTGTTGGAATACCTGAGGCTACGCAACTAAGGTTTACAGGGTATCCTTCGGTAACAGATTGGCGTAACAGAGGCTGAATGATCTTGGGAGAGACTTGAGGCAAAAGATCAAGAAGCTTAACAAAGGGCCGTATCGTCTATTTTAAACCCCTTCCCTCCCTCTCTAATCCAACTCTAAATTATCTATTTTCAAAATAAAAGCAAACTTCGTTATTGCCAAGCCTAGTTTTAATCCAAGTTTATTTTGCAATCAGTTTTCTTCACTTTTGATATAGGAAGGTATAAGTCAGCCCAACGCGACATCAAAACATTCTTTTCTTTCCTTAAAAGATTTCCTATGCTAGCAGCAGCCCAGGAGGTAGGAATTTATTTACCTACTTATTAATTTCTTCTTTCTTTTTGTTAGGTGTAATATCAACACCCCGTGCTACCATGTTCAAAGAGTACCAGCTTCTCTAAGTTCAAACTACACATTTACTTTGAAGAATAGCCAGATAATAATGGTCACAAGGTTTGCATTCCATGAAAACATTACGTTAAATCTGTCATTTCAAACAGTCAGATCGTCCGTTGTAGCAAGAGTACAAGTTCATAACGACCTAACAGCGGAATTATTTTCGTGTATTTCTTTGCAGTTCTGGTCGCTGATTTTCAAATTTGAATTCAATGAAAAGTTTACATGGAAGTTTATCCAAAATCGCTTTCCAACTTCAATTATAAATACTTAGATAATATTGCGCTGATAGCCACTTTGACATTTTTGCACTTCTAAAAATGTACATGAAATCCTGACTTGTCAGCCATTGGTACTTAAGAAGCAGACAAAAAGGTAATTAAAAAATTTAGACGGAATTTTATAATAAATGCCGTGACAAAATATGATGATATCTATAAAGTCAAAATTGCTCGACGCTCCAAAAAGCAATCAGTTTAAACTGCGCAAAAATTAATTACATATGTCTGAACAAGAGGTTCATTAACATTTGATAAATATGTTGGCATGTTCTCGCTCTTTAAATGCTATCATCAATTTAGTGCTTTTTTATTACTTTTAATCAGTTTTGAACTTCTGTGGTTTCAAGTCCTAAAATTTGATTTGGTACCAGAGAATCGATTTTTTCTAACCAAAGATCTAAACTGATTATCGACTTCAGTTCTTTCTATGTGTAAATAAGAACCGTACCTCCCGCCACCTCGATCCAGAAAGTTGAGTTTTTGCTTCCTTCGCTGTTTTTGGCGCTGCATGTGTATTGACCAGAGTCTTCCAATCTCGCTTGACGAATCGTGAGAGTGTTGTTGTTACCAAGATTCTCCCCATCCTTAGTCCAGAGTATCTCCGGTATAGGGAAACCGCTTAGAGAGCAATTGAACTGAAGCGATGATTTATATGTAACTGACCGATTCTTGAGCTCAGGATTAATTTCAGGCCGACCTGGGCATAGAATTCAAAAGTACAAATCAAAAAAGGTGAAAGTATGAAAAAAAAAAAAAAAGAAAAAAAAACCTTAGAAAATAAGAAGAGCAATTGAAGGAAACAAAAGTATGTCAACGTTTACCTGTGACGGTAATATCAAAAGCTGCTTCATTGTTCCCTTCACTGTTGTTAGCGCTGCAGGTATATTGACCAGCATCTCCATAACTCACTGGATTGATTGTGAGAGTGTTGTTGTTACCAAGATTCTCCCCATCCTTAGTCCAGAGTATCTCCGGTGTAGGGAAACCGCTTAGAGAGCAATTGAACTGAAGCGATGTTTTATATGTAACCGACTGATTCTTGAGCTCAGGATTGATTTCAGGAGGACCTGGGCATAGAATTAACAAGCACAATTCAAAAAAGGGGAAAGTTTGAAAAGAACAACAGAAAACGAGAAGAGCAACCAAAGGAAACAAAGTATGTCAACATTTACCTGTGACTGTGATATGAAAAGCTGCTTCATTTTTCCCTTCACTGTTTTTAGCGCTGCATGTGTATTGACCAGCATCGCCGTAACTCACTCGATTAATCGTGAGAGTGTTTTTGTTACCAATATTCTCCCCATCCTTAGTCCAGAGTATCTCCGGTGTAGGGAAACCGCTTAGAGAGCAATTGAACTGAAGCGATGTCTTATATGTAACCGACTGATTCTTGAGCTCAGTATTAATTTCAGGAGGACCTGGGCATAGAATTTCAAAGTACAATTCAAATAGGGGAAAATATGAAAAAAAGGAAAAAACCCCTAGAAAATGAGAAGAGCAACTGAAGGAACCAAAGTTAAGTCAACGTTTACCTGTGACTGTAATATGAAAAGCTCCTTCACTGCTCCCTCCACTGTTGTTAGCGCTGCATGTGTATTGACCAGCATCGCCATAACTCACCCGATTTATCGTGAGAGTGTTGTTGTTACCAAGATTCTCCCCATCCTTAGTCCAGAGTATCTCGGGTGTAGGGAAACCACTTAGGGAGCAATTGAACTGAAGTGGTGATTTATATGTAACTGACCGATTCTTGAGCTCAGGATTAATTTCAGGCGGACCTGGGCAAAGAATTCAAAAGTAAAATTCAAAAAAGGTGAGAGTATGAAAAAAAAAAAAACCCTAGAAAATGAGAAGAGCAACTGAAGGAAACAAAAGTATGTCAACGTTTACCTGTGACTGTAATATGAAAAGCTACTTCACTGTTCCCTCCACTGTTGTTAGCGCTGCATGTGTATTGACCAGCATCTCCATAACTCACTCGATTTATCGTGAGAGTGTTGTTGTTACCAAGATTCTCCCCATCCTTAGTCCAGAGTATCTCCGGTGTAGGGAAACCGCTTAAAGAGCAATTGAACTGAAGCGGTGATCTATATGTAACTGACCGATTCTTGAGCTCAGGATTAATTTCAGGCGGACCTGGGCATAGAATTCAAAAGTACAAATCAAAAAAGGTGAAAGTATACAAAAAAAGGAAAAAAGACCCTAGAAAATGAGAAGAGCAACTGAAGGAAACAAAAGTATGTCAACGTTTACCTGTGACTGTAATATGAAAAGCTACTTCACTGTTCCCTCCACTGTTTTTAGCGCTGCATGTGTATTGACCAGTATCTCCATAACTCACTCGATTAATCGTGAGAGTGTTGTTTTTACCAAGGTTCTCCCCATCCTTAGTCCAGAGTATCTCCGGTGTAGGGAAACCGCTTAGAGAGCATATGAATTGAAGCGATGTATTATATGTAACCGATTCATTCTTCAGCTCAGGATTGATTTTAGGAGGATCTGGGCATAGAATTAACAAGCACAGTTAAAAAAAGGAAAGTTTGAAAAGAACAACAGAAAATGAGAAGAGCAACGGAACGAAAATAAAGAAGTCAACATTTACCTGTGACTGTTATATGAAAAGCTGCTTTATTTTTCCCTTCACTGTTTTTAGCGCTGCATGTGTATTGACCAGCATCTCCATAACTCACTTGATTAATCGTGAGCATGTTCCTGGTATCAAGTAACTTTCCATCTTTTGTCCACTTCACCTCTGGTTTAGGAAAACCCCCCACGAAGCATTCAATTTGAAGTGTTGAATGTAATTTGACAGACTTCTCTCGTCGAGAATTTATTTCAGGAGGACCTTTTTAATTTTGAAAGGAAAATTATAATTTATATAAAACTTGATCCCCATCCCCTCCCCCTCTACTTTTTTTTAACCGACTGTCTTTCTCTCCTCAGCTCTCCCCTGCCGTAAAAATCAAAGCCCATGAAAATCATGGTTGCAAGCTTTGCAGATCACGCCTAATTGGTAATAATGAAACTCTGCCGAAAAAATAAAATGTTTTTAATTCAGTGCGAGCCATGTTGTTTTTTTTTTTTTTACAAAGAAAAGGGGGGTAAGTTTCCAAAATCCCTTGGGTCTTATCGACTAAGTTGAAAATGTGAAATGGTTACCGTAAAGATTTTCAAAGCTAACGTTTGGACCGCACTTTGTAAGAGCTAACGCTTGAAACGTCAACTTTGATAATTTTTCGGTGGCCAATCTAAATTACCAAAAACCAAAGTATATTAAACAAGGAGTTTGACGTTTAATAAAAGGACAGTTGAAGGATATCTGTGCAGCATTTTCTACCAACAAATGAATCCTTTACTTTCTCCTCATATATAAAACCACTTACATTTACAAGGCCGTGATTCCTGTGTTCTTGAGCAGTTAAATTCTAGAAGTAAGGTTATCCAGTTAATATTTTAAAAGTAATAAACGGTTGGAGATTAAGTCATCTTATTTCTAGTAAAGAAAACATCCATTGGCAATAACTGCTGAAGGTTCCTGCCTAATTATCACTGCAATCTAAACATAAGAATTAATCCAATTGAATAGAGGCTTATAAATGCTGTATAGTTTTTGGAAGTTGTGAAACAGTGGCGAAAACCCGCCATTGCACTTTCGAGTCACAAATTCTAAAAAACTCCCTCTTGTCACTTACCGACTCTTTGCCGGTACTGACTATTGCACCCTATGCAGACGCCACTCCAAGATGACCACGCCATACAACCTTTAAAAATAACAAGTTGTGCGCAAAGAGTAATATGTCATATTATCACTCTACCTCATCCCCGGAGACCCAGGGGCTGTGAGTCATATTATCACTTTAGCTCATCCTTCGAGACCCAGGGGCTGTGAGTCGATTTCAAGTCAGTGCGGAAGAGCCCCTGGGGACATTGTCTTACAAGACTAGTTCCAAAGGGTCGCAGTCGTTCTGGCATCTGATTGGTGCCAGAAAATCTTTGTGCTTGTCTGCCCAATCAGAGTGAAGTATGGTTTATTTGGGCAGTGCAAACCCCGTCGGTAACTGTCCGAAAACATCTCTCCTTCCCACAGTGTTCTCGACGGTTTTTGTTCAGATTTTAATTCGCTAACCGGAAACAGAGCTAAGCTTTCTCTAAGCGCTTGCTGAAGGTCGTCTACGAACTTAAAGTTCTCTGAAACCTCGGCCATATTGTGAAAGACTTTACTACTGTGCAAGGGTTAGTATGTTAGTTAGTATTCAGTATAATTTCTGGTAATATTTTCGCGGACAACCTGATCGATTTCTCTTACATTGTGCGCTGAGACTGAAACTTTTCACCACGGGCAGTGCTTTGTCGCACGGCCCAAACAAACAAGGCGAGCCACTGGGCTTCTTGTACATTTTAAAACGACTTCGACCGTTTGGAACTAGTCTTGTAAGACAATGTCCCTAGGGGCTCTTCCGCCCTGACCTGAAATCGACTCACAGCCCCTGGGTCTCTGAGGATGCACTCTACCTATGCTCTTTACTTCCTTTGCTGCATTTATCTGCAGCTTGCAATAAAGGATACTAAAATACTTAATTATTATCGTCTATATCCCCAGTTTCTACTTTCCAAGGAGACTTCGAACTAACATCGCCAAGTTAAAAAGATTGATGGCTTGAAGCTTATAAATCACCCAACTTACAGTTCCTTATTTATAAACATCATTGGTGTTCTCTCAACATCTGTCTGGGATTTATCATGTTATATGCCAAGGAGAGGCACATTTTTTTATATTGCTCAAATGGATGACTGTGCGAAAATGTTAAAAGAAACAAACTAGGATTTTAACGTTTTCAATTTTTAATTTTCAACTTTATTGTAAAAGTTCCACCAGTATATGGCAGAAGCCTGAAAGGTTGAAATTCAATTTTTGTAACAATAAAAAGTTTTATTTCTATGCCACATCTTTGTTCACACATCCTCTGATCAACAGAGAAGAGTATCCTGTCTTTATCGACCCTTTATCCTGCCTACTGATAAATGATAGTTCAAACATGGCTACTTACAATCTGTTATATCAGTTAGGATGAGGATGTTCGGTGAACATGAAAAGAAAGATTCACTTTCGATGAGTAAATTAGTGGCTTAATATAGCCTTGGAACACTTGACTAACACGCCATAAGCTTAACAAACAAACTGAACTCGTCGCACTCACCCGCTTTTGAATCCGAAAAGAAGGCCGTGAAAGAGAAAAAAAATTTTGAAAAAGATGTTAATCCATTTATCTATTCATTCGTTTATTTGAACCAACCAGTTTGTTTTGTACGTCAATATTTTACATTGAAATCGATAATTATGTGACAGAATTTGTTAAATCAAACAAACAAACAGCCAATTATGACTGATATCTGATGATAATTATACAAATATTAAAGAACTTAGGTACTGATTTTATACTAATACCATCCACATCAGTAAAATCGTTTGGACAGTAACACTATAACAGTAACAGCTATCACTGACTGTCATTGATATACACCCAAATATTTTCTTACTCTATTTACGATGTCAATTTGCTGATCAGTAATCAGGTGGTGCAGAGAGTCACTAATGTATATTGAGCCACAGGAGAGTTCTTCATTTATAGGAACGGATGATATTGATACTCACCTTCCCGTTTGGCTTGGCAGAAAAGATGAGATAAGAAAAGACGAGCAATTAATGATGTGAATAACATAGCTTAAGTTATGGAATAACAAACCATCGTAAAATTCTAACCTACTCTTTGGAAAGGAATTGGGTTCCAGTGCCTACTCAACACATGGAAAGCGAGCATTAGCGCCTAAATTTACATTTCCCACAGAAGGATGTGAAGGTGGAAAAAAATTCTCCCGAAACTTAAGCGAAAATTGTCAAGGATGGATTGCATTTCTAAATTTCTGTTTAACCTCGTTCACGCCGGTTTCACATTAAGGGTTTGACTGATTTTATGCGTCGTATGATCAGCCCTTGAAGTACTTGTGGTTAATTTTGTTTTACTTCTGTTCTGCGTTTGTCAAACCTCATAATGGTCCTAAGTTATGCACCGTGAACATTTTTGTTTGCGGTATTCGACGAGATTCAGTCGCTATCAGGAAGTAGAAAGAGTTAGTATAACTGAGTCGAATGTTCCTCGTCAGCGGTCACCAGCAGATCACAGGATGAGGGGCCAGTTATGGAAGTCTTTACCAATAAAAATATACCATAAGCACGAGTTGAGCTCAAAATTCACAATAAAGCAGAAAAGTAAACTTAAAACACATTGATGGATGTCAGCGTAAATTTCATTGGTGGAAACTGTATAATTTTAAGCGAAAGCGATTTTCAGTGGAGGTTTCAGAAGTAATCCTTGGTAACATCGGAGTTTTGCTACGCCTCGTCTTGCACTACAACTTCTCAGCAAATTTGATTTCACATGATCTCGTGCGTTTTCCAGTCCTGGATGCCAAATGTTTACTTTGAATATGAGATTCTTGAGGCTCCAGTGAGTTTTCGTTGTTCTGACTCGCCTTGATGATAACCTAGCTTTGTTTTTACAACACTTAATCGACATGCACTCCGAAAAAAATAAACCATTCATACGTGGTTCGGTTGTAAGTGGGATCCTAAGTACTAAAGGAGAATTTAATTGTCTTGAGCATGATTATTAATAATAAGAATTGCGCGAGATAAACTAAATTCAACTTACCAGCTAAGTGATTGCAGAAGTGGCATGTAAATAAAAGTTATAAAAAATATAATTAAAACGTGCATCTGTAGCTCAAAACATTCAGTTGTTTATAATGGTAATTGAACTGAGTGAAGTGCAATTTGGGCTGAAATCATATGCGTGATTTCGAAATCGAACGAGGGCGCAGAGCAAGTTCGATTTGTAATCATAAGTATGATTTTAGACCAAAACTGCACGACACTAGATTCAACTACCACTTTATTACATCCATTTTGGAATCGCCTAAATATAGGACTTAGTCAGTTCAAATACTTTATTGATGCAGTATTGAGCCGGTTTGAAATTAAATTCATCCATTTTTTGGGAGGGAAAAATAAAAGTTTTGGATACAACAGTTGCAAAATTTGCCACATGATACTCTTTGTCTTTCATTTTTCTCCTATTTGATTGGCTACTTTAAACACGCCTTGAAATCTGATTGGTTTTTTTTAGTATAGCCTCCTCATTGGCTCGGAAAAAGATGCGATTTGAAGCAAAAAATGGTGCGATTTAGAGCCAATCAGATTACAGGGACCACCAGTGATTTCAAAATGGTTGTAATAAATTGAGAAATGCTATGCACTTTTTCTTTCGTTTATCACCTGTACTTACGTTAAATATGTTAACGTATACATACTGTAAAGGTGCCATGCAAATAGATATACAGTAAATGGTTTGAACTCGGGGGTAACAGTGTGGTTTGATCGTCCGGGTGAGCGTAGTCCTGAGAAGGACTGATGTCGGTAGTGGTGACTGACGTTTCGACAACCTGAGCGGAAGTCATCATCAGAGTCAAGTGAATAGTTGCTGTCAGTCGAATGTACTAAGTCCGGTTTGTATAAACTGATTGGTCAGTTGCCATGATGTTACTGGCTGTAAGACTCAAGTGGCATAGGTCGGTCGTGATTGGTCGGTCTCAATCCGTTAGTGAAGCTCGGTCGTTCCGCTCGGTTCGTTTGTAATGTTAATGTCGTGAATCAGTTGTTTGTATTGTGCCGGTAGTGGTTGACACCTTTTCAGGTGAGTCTTTTCCAAGTTAGTAAACCAGCTTTCCAGGGTCAGTCGTTAAAAGTAGTTGGTGCTGTAGGTTATAATTAGAGTCCCAGTCAATAGTGAGGTTCGTAAGTCGGTGATGTTCAGCAATGTGATTGTTTTCATCGCCTTTCCTTGTCGGTCGTTTGTGTTAAGTAAGTCTAATTGTGAGGTTTCTACCAGTCTCACCGATGTAAGAAGCGTGGCAGTCGGAGCAATTGATCTTACACACTGCTCCCCGTCTGTTCCTCGGTTCGTCTCTGTCTTTGATGTTAGCCAGTAACTGACGTAGTGTGGTAATAGGTTTGTGAGCGAGGCGGATATTGAATGGTTTTAGGATGCGCGAGATGTTCTCAGATATGCCTTTTATGGATGGTATAGTTACTATGGCCGTAGGAGTTGCGTTGTTGTTAGCTTCGGTAGTAGTAGAAGGTGGGTGAGTGTTACGTTGGATGAAGTCTTCGTTGTAGTTGTTCTTTGATATAACACGGTCAAGGTGCTTGTTCTCGTCGGATAAGCTGTCTGTCGTATTGTATACTTGTTGCGCTCGTCGCGTAAGAGTCCTGATAGTTATGGCTTTGTGTGATGTCGGGTTGGAGGATGACCCGTCCAGTAATCTGTCGGTATTTGACGGTTTCCTGTAAACTGTTGTCCTTGGTGAGTTGTCGTCACGGCTTACCAGGCAGTCTAGGAAAGGTAGTTTACCATTTTCTTCGAACTCTCTATTAAACTGTATGTCAGTGTTTTGTTCGTTAAGGTGGTGGTGGAATGCGTCGATTACGTCGTGTCATACTGCGGTGAAAGTGTCGTCAACGTAGCGTAACCAAAGCGGTATCGTTTGTCGGCAAGTCGAAAGGGCGCTTTCCTCGATGTTCTGCATCACAATTTCTGCTACAACAACAGAAACTGGAGACCCCATAGCTGTACCGTGTAACTGTTTGTAGTGTTTACCGTTGTACTGAAAGTAAGTTGACGTCAGGCAAAGGTTTAGTA